ACTGTGCCATCTCTCAGGGCAGGAAGACCCGCTTTTGGCCTGCTCATGGGCTTTCCCAGTATAGCAGCCTATTTTCTGGACAGCCTTCCAGAAGAGGTGATAAAATCTTTATCTGGAGATATTATAAGCTATTGTTTAGGAGGGGCTTCTAAGAAAGATGTGACTGGTTGAAATATTACACTTTTCCGTTTTATGATTTTTAAAATGTTCGTGGCTCATTCTCAAATTGTACAGTTTTATTATTGTTTATATACATCTTTGGGGGAGCACACTACCCCTTTGAGCCCCTTACGAGGAAGACAGTGCAGAATATGTTTCAATAAATATTACTTACCTTCTCCAGGATGCTCTCTTTCTGCTGTTCCTTGAAGTCTTCTTTTTTCACTTTGAAGGATTTGTACAGGAGTTCGAGTTTTGTGGGATCTGCTTGGAGATGAACTTCGGAGCCTTTTTCATAAGCCTCCCAAGCAAATACTTGAGATTAAAAAAAGATAATGTTTTCAATTTATTCTGATCCAACTAATTTCAAGATATTAATCAGTTCTCTATATAAATTTCATGGGGGGAGGGGGAAGGCAGAATCTCTTATTTTTTTCTCCCTCTTCACTCCCCAGTGCTTCCCAGCTCCATGCAGCCAGTGCTACTGACCTTCCTCTGCTCCAGTTCAGATACACCTGGCTGGAGACCAGGGCCTGTTGCTGGTACCCCCAAGCTTAGCTCCATGGAGACAGTTGTTGCCCTAGCTGCCGCCCCACCCGTTTGTACTGGGAAAAAGCAGCCCTGAGCACCTGAACTGACTCTTATGGGGATAGGCGTCTGTGGGAGCATGGTCTCTGTGATCAATGAACACCAGCTGTCCTTTGGACTGGAAGGGGGAACTGACTTCTCTCAGTTTGAAGGATCCTTGGGTGGGTAGAACCTGGGGGCTCAGAAGGTATGTGTCACACCAGTCAGGAGACGGGCCTCCGACCAAGGTCTCCTCTGGCTCTTCCTTTCCTCTTTTTCCCCCTTATGGGTACTGTATCTGCTCTGTACTCCCTCACCCACATGCACCAGCATCTCAAGGTAAGTATCATGGGTGGGCCTGGGGTGTCATCCTCTGGTGCTGGCCTCTCCCAATTTCCCCCGGGATCCTGAGGGCTCCTTCCCCCTCTGGAAGTACCCCACACTGTCCTTAGAAGTCCACTCACACTTTTCCCTTCCACGTGGTTTAGGCACCCAGCCTGTCCTCCCCAAATAAATATTTAATATATTCCATCAAGAACAGATGGGTGGCATTATTACAGCAAATATCAGACTACCATATATAATACTTACGCTGTGTTTGTGCCATTGAAATGGTATCCCCAGTGTAACGAACAAAGTTATCACCTGCATAACTGACCCTGTAAGAAAAAATAGGATTAGACCTTGTAACTATTGCAATGACTATCTCCTCCCGTCCCAACAGATGAAATTATTACTTAGCAATGCATCTTCCTTGACCACGGATACTGAGGCTCGGAAGTGCTTCTCATTATGTATGTGAAAACTCAGAGTGATTCTCAAGAGCCATTCCCATGTATGCAAAGATGCTGCTCATTAATGCGAACCATTTGCATAACCTGCTCTTTCTGGCTGCAAGAAGCCAACCAAGCACATCATCTACTCAGGCACAGGAGTGTCTCCAGGCAAGCAATCTGTAAAATGAGATATGAAGCAGCCACATGTTGCCACCCTCCTGCATCACAGGTTATCTCCCTAAACTGCCAGTCAGGGACAGAAGAGATTTTAAGACAGGCTGCATTTGTTCCTTGTGAGTTAAATGCTTTAATGCTCCTGGAACTTCCACCGCTGAATTAATTGGCACCAAAATATCTCTGCAAGAAAATATAAGGAAACTGTTGCCCCAGGAGGCCCCCCCCCCTTATTAGGCAAGGGAAAAGAGCCACTAGGGTTTCTCCCCCATTTTAGAAAGCAGATTGCCTGTCATCAAAGAAAACGTTAACGTTATCTGGGAAATAAAATGCCAGCTAAGCCCAGGAGAGCCCCAAGGCACCTATTGTTAGTCCTGTCTTGGATGCCAGGTAAGTACTTTAACTCCACTTGTGAATGATGTGCTCCCCCTTCCCAAATCAATTGCACCCAAAATGAAAGCAGGTACCCTGCCCTGCCCACAGAAGCAGGACATTAACTAGGTCCATTTCTACCATCGCCCAACCTAGTCTTTTGTCTTTTCCACACAGGCAAGGGATCTCGTGTCTAAGGGCTGCCTATCCCCCCACCATGATCTTCAAGGAATGCTAGACCATGGGACTCTTCCCCTTCTTGTTGGACAAGCAAAATATATTTTACATTTACATTCTCCCTTTATTATCCATTCAGGCTCCAATCCACCCCCTGGCCCTAGTATATTTACAGAGGACCGGATTGTTTACTAGCTTTCTCAACCACTTAGTTTTAAATTGGCTCTATATCTCTGCTTTTCTTCATGCTATCCCTTTTATTCTTTTATTCTATATAAATGTGTATTATTTAAATGTTGTTTCCTTCCATTTCTAGAAATATGGTTCCAAGCTTGACCAATGTATACATAGGCTTAGAAGTCCCAAAAGAAACACAGACAACTTTAGATGTACTTAAGAAAGGTTGTACACCTGTATAGGGAGCAGTTTGTGTAACGTAACATACTTCAATAGTGGAAGCAAGTTAGTTTCAGACTTACTCATCTGGATTCTTTCCTGCATTGGCATATGGATTCTCCCTCATTGCTCTTGTCTTGGGATCATAGTATGCTGAATTGGGGTCTAGATTCCGCAAGTACTGAAGAGACACAAGAACACCAGCTCTGAAATTTGAATCTCCTGTGCAGAGAATTTGCTAACAAGCTTCTAAAGTAACAGAGCTATACAATAAAGTCCAAATAAGGCCCTCTTCCCAAATGTTGGCAAATCTCCATTAGCCCAAAAATGTGAGATGCCCTCCAGTTCCCTACTACTCCTTTTTATGCCGTTACCAGTCCCACATCCACAGCATTTTGACAGGCATGTGCCTCTGCAGAGAGAGCAGCTGCAATTCTGTGTTCTAACTTCCCTGAGAAGACAACGTGGCTTATGACTAACAGATATGTATTTACAAAGATGAAGAGAACCACACATGTGGTTCTAATAGAATATCTCCCTATAACTACAAAATGGCAGTATGGTGTCCACATGTGCATCTCTATTTCCACCCACCTGGAGGTATTTTAACTCGCTGCAGGCAGCCAGATGCATAACTAATAAAGATGTTGATTTAAAAAAACCCACCATCTTTTTAGCAATCCAAAAATCTGAATAAGTTCATCATTGTTTCCAAGCAAAGAAAAAACAAACCTTTATCTTCTCTTCTGTTCTAAAATAAAATACTCTTACCTAAACACTATTTTCACATAGATGACTTTACAAGGAGTGTTTGTACCTCACTAGCAATTATTTTGATTCTGTGTTTTAAGAGGTACATATTAGTCACACAGAAGATGATTGCTAGATCCTTGAATGAAAACTAAACGAAGACAGAATTCTGCCCTCTTCTTTGGCTACTAGAGTAACAGCAGCAGCACAATGCTTTGCAGATCTCTGCTTACTTTGGCAATATCTTCTCGAATACGCAGGTTCCGAACTGTAATGCGCCGCTTGGAGTCAAAATTCTGCCCAGGCATATCAATGTCATCTGCGTATTTGTCTTCATCCTCATCTTCACTGTTATGATCTCTTTCCTGAAAAAATACAAAACAAACAGTGAAAGATACAAAAGACTACCACCAAAGGCAAGAACTCACTAGCATAATTAGCCAAGTAAGTTTGCTTGGTCAAACCTTTGAAGAAAATAAAAAGATAATATAAAAACAACTTTGTTAGCGGTAGACTGAATCCAGCCTTCTTGCATCATAAACATGCATTTTTAGTACACTTGAGAACCAGTGTGGCATAGTGGTTAGAGTTAGATCCAGGTGGGCAGCTGTGTTGGTCTGAAGCAATAGAACAAAGTTAGAGTCCAATGGCAGCTTCAAGACCAACAAAGTTTTATTCAAGATTTGAGTTTTCATGTACACGCACACTTCATCAGATGATGAAATGGAATTACATATCATAGTTGTATATACAAGTGGCCTGTTAGATGAGCATGCAAAATAGTGAGAATAATTTTTTAACAGATCGAAAGAATGACAAGCTGGTTTCTGGTTATAATCTGTTTCGGTTCAACGGGGGGGGGATGACAACATAGGTAATAAATATGTTAGAACTGGAGATTGATGTGTCAGACAAAGATCTCAAATCAGGCTCACGTTTGTTATGAGAATAATGAAGGACAGGAGAATGATGTAAGCTACTTTGGGTTCCCAGTAGGGAGAAAGGCAGGGTACAAATGAAGTAAATATTCAGGGGTCCTGAATTTGCCAAAAGCAATTTTGTTCCTGCATGTTTTTTCTTAGATCAGCAGGAGAGCAACTGAATGCTGAACATCTTTCCAGCAGGTCTGTGGTACACATGCAACACAGAACAGCTAAAAGACCAGGATTAATTCATTTTGATGCAATTAGACAGTGTTTTTAAAATGCCCTTGCTGCTGCTACCCGCTGAGCTCCTTGAAATGCTGCTCCTGGAGATCAGAACATTCTCATGCACAGCACAGTGGGCAAAGCAGTGGGAGGAGAAATTTGGTGGAAGCCCCCCCTCTGCCACTGAATAAAAGCTCATATCCATGTCAATCCCTTCTGAATGAGATCAATTTTCTTCCTCCTTCAATCTGTGACATGTATCTTGGTGGTGCAAGGTGTCTTCAAGTCGCAGCTGACTTAGGTTTTACAAGGCAAGAGACATTCAGAGGTAGCTTGCCATTGCCTGCCTTTGTGGTGCAACCCTGGACTTCCTCGGTGGTCTCCCATCCAAATACTACCTAGGGCCGACCATGCTTAGCTTCTGACATCTCATGAGATTAGGCTAGCCTGGACTACTGAGGTCAGAGTGACATCTGTCTTACCGTTTGTGAATTTGGTTCCTCTTCACCCCACTGATGCCTTGGAGAGCTCTATGGCAAACAGAAAGACATGTCAGCATAGTGTACCAAACTGCAAAGGAAAGCTGTGACGTGGGATGACAAAGAAACACCTGGCTTGAGAAGAATCAAAGGAGCAGTTTTTTTTTTTAAAGGTACTCACTAGAAACCAAATGTTAAAGCCACGGAACAAAACAGACTAGCAACCTGCAAGACATTTTTAATAAGATACTTCAAAAACAATGAATAGTTTTGCATCAAGTTGATGAGCTTTTCAAGCCACAGCAGAAGCCAATGAATGAAACCTTAAAAAAAAAGATATTATGCATGCTGTTCTCTGATCATGCCTCTCTATAGACAAATGAACTTATTTATTTAATTCATTTGTCCTCAGCCTTTCTCCCCAATGGAAACTTGGACTTACATACTGTTCTCTCCACCATTTTATCCTCACAACAACCCTATAGGGTAGGCTAGGCTGAGAAAGTGTTACTAGCCTGGGGTCACCCAGTGAGCTCCATGGCACGAGCAGGGATTAGAACCCAGGACTCCCAGATACTAATCCAATACTCTTAACCACTACACCACACTGGCTCTCAAATAAAAATCTAAGTCAAAACTAAGATAGTGCATAGTTTTAGGGAAATGTTCATTATATTAAATATGCCAATGGTGGTAAATGTATAATTCCAAGGCATCAGTTAAAACTGCAATTCACTCTCAATGCCAACTTAGAAAAAATAGTTAAGGGGGCTCTATATGAGGCTGTCCTTGAAGTTTGTCCAGAAGTTATACTTTGTACAGAATGCTGCAGCCAGAACTTTGAGTGGAGGGGGTCGTGGGGATCATATCATTCCAATCTTGTTCCATCTGTGCTGGCTCCCAATTCGGGGTGCTGGTATTGACTTTTAAAGCCTTTAATGGCTTGAGATCAGCATACTTAAAGAACTGTGCTCTCAATATGAACCTATCCACCACTCTGGTCACCTTCAGTGGTCCTTTGGGTGCCCCTGGCGATATCTGAGGCTAGATGGAAGGCAACCTAAGAAAGAGCCTTCTTGACTGTGGCACTGAAACTTTGAAAGTCCCTCCCCATGGAAATTTGGTTATCTCCTTCTATCATTGTCTTCTGCCAGCAACGGAAGACTTTGTTTTATTTGGTGTTTTGTCACTAACTCTTATTAGCCCCCTTCCCTGTGTGTGCATTTTATATTTTAAATATTTTTATATATTTGTATTTTAAATGCTCTTTAATGTTTAACATGCTTTTATGTTTGCTGCCTTGGGGACCCTGAATTGACAGGAAAGATGGCATAGAAATATTTTAAATAAATAATTTGCAGAGGATACAATGCATAATAAAGTAACTTGCTTGTTAGATTTAGTTGCCAGGATCTAGCAGTGGAATTAATCTCAGACTAGATATCCTTAGAACTTCTAACATGATTCCATCCTTAACAGAGGCTGTTTTACGATAGGAAATGGTCTGAACTACTCCAAGCATTAAAATCTAATAACAATAAATCCTTTTGGCAAGTTGTATCTTCTTATATGAATAGCATAACTTCTGTCCTAACATCCTTCCTAAAATGTGGATTGATTACTACAACATAATCTTTGATGCTCATGATAATACCTCACTAGATACCAATAACACTATCCCAGAAGACATTCCCAACTGGCCTCCGATAACTGCAGACGAAATTATTGATTTGATTTCAGAATTGAAACTAGGTAAGGCTCTGGGCCCTGATGGGATCCCGTCAGAAATGCTTTCCAAACACCCTCAATGGTGACCCTAACCTTTAGCTAATCTATTAAGTTTAATTAATCAATCTGGAAGGATCCTCCAGTCATGGTTGGATTCTATTATTACTCCTATCTTTAAAAAAAGGAAATCCTAATTGCCCAGAAAGTTATAGGCCGATCAATCTTTTATCTATAGACAAGTTATATGCCAAATTTCTAGAAAGATGGTTAAAAACATTGATATACTCTCAGCAGATAATCAGTCCTGAACAAACCGGCTTCTCGAAAGGTAATTCTACTGTAGATCACTGCTTTCTTTTAACTTTCCTGACTGATAAATGTATGAAATTAGGCACTAAAAAATTGTATGCAGCCTTTATTGATCTAAAAGGTGCATTTGATTCAGTTTCCAGATAATTACTTTGGAGAAAACTTGAAACTTTGAATATTGATTCTCGATTATTATTTTTAATTTAAAAGCTCTTTATACAAGAATGACATGGGAGCGTTTAATACAGGCTGCCAAAGAAAAAGAGTCTACAACCTTTTGGAAGATAACTTCTAAATGCGCATTAAAGGACACCTTCCCTTTAGAGTCAACAATTATGGCGGAAACCTGGGAAGCATACTTTAGTAAGATATATACCGATACCCCTCAAGAATCCCCTCCACAAATTTGGGAAGCTTCAGAGTAACAGACAGAATTACACTGCCACCTAGTGAAAACATTCAAAATGTTGGACTCTATGGAATGAAAGGCAAGCCTTGCCTCCTCACTTTGCTTCCTCAGCATTCCTAAAAGCACCAGGCAATGACAACATTCCTCCTGAACTCCTAATGAACAACATTAAATGGTGGGCTCCACTCCTGACTTTGCTTTTTACCTACATCAATGCCACAGGATGCATTCCAAAGGAGTGGGGACAGCCGATTGTAATTCCATTCTTTAAGAAAGGAAGGCGAGACGATCCAGCTAACTGCAGACCAATCAGTCTGCTCAGTATAATCGGCAAACTTTATGCCAGCCACCTAGCAGACAAATTTATGGAGCCGGACTGAACAGGAAATATTACTTGCCGAAGAGCAAGCAGGTTTCAGGGAGGGAAGATCCACCCTCGGTCATGGACTGATTATGCAGTATTTATTGATCTTAAAGTGGCCTTTGACTCTAACTCGAGGTCTAAATTATAGGAGAAATAAGAGCCACAACTATAGATCAAAGGCTCCTATATTTAATCCGAGCCTTATACGCTAACACGTCATTTAAGATTAGATGTAACAGGAGAGGGCACCTCTCAAACTCTACTTTAACAACAAAAGGTGTGAAACAGGGATGTGTACTGGCCCCATTGTTGTTTATTTTTTATATTAATAACATGATCAGCGACTTAAAAAATTCTGATTTTCAAACCCCCCCCAACTGTTAAAAATCCTAGTTATCATTTGAATGCAATTAGGTACAAAGGTAAAGTGCATATGTACTGCACTTTTTAAATTTACAGCAGACATTTAAAAGCATAAAGCATACAGAATAAAGCTTCCACAAAGTTTAAAACACTTACAAATATGTAGGGCACATTAAAAAATAAACCTTGCTACCACAAGAAGAAGATACAGTGATTACAGTATTACTTAGAACATTTCACTATCAGAAAACTAAAATTATGTCATTTGGTAAAAGAACTAAAAGAAGGGTTTGGAGTATCAACGGGCATAGGATCGAGCAGGTCGCAAGCTTCAAATACCTGGGGGTGGTATTCAATGTTCCCTCTAAGCTGTGGAATTACAACATGCCACAATATAAAGCTCACTGTCAAACTGGAGTCCGCATGGATTCCTGCACCCTCTTCCAGCAGTTCGTCCCAACTCCTTGCTCATTGTCAACCATGGTCTAAATCAAAGTGTGCTTTAAGGATACCAATAACCAGGTTTTATTGAAAACCAAGAAATCAACCCTAACTGTTCCCTGGAAGGCCAGATATTGAAACTGAAGCTCAAATACTTTGGCCACCAAATGAGAAGGGAGATTACAATTGACTGGGGCAAGAATGGCTCATCATGGATGGTTAATTTAGGACAAAAATCTGCCCAGACCATAATTAAATTCTTACGCACCAAGGGAGGGCAGTATTTGCCAGCAGCCCTTAAACTGTTTCAGGCCAAAATATTGCCCCAACTTTTGTACAGGACAATAATGGGTCCACTATCTTCATGCATTTGTCTGGTGATATGTGCTTTCTGCTTAGGCAGCACTGGTATCTTGCAATAAGCAGAAAGCACCCAACCTTAGAGGAAAGCACCGCAAAAGGCTTATTTTAACAGCTCAGAAGCATATTTCAGATGGGGGAAATTAAATAAAATCCTTAAAGGTGTTCAATATCCAGACTGGATCACCTTAGAGGTGCTGCCGGCCCAGCTTAGTCACACTCCCACCCACAATGGAAATATACCCTACATTTGTAGAAACTGGTTTCCTTTATTAGGTTAATTAACTTCTCACAATGTGGGTTCTAGAAAATTGGTTCATATGAACTTGCTTAATATCTGATTGCTCGGGTGGTGTTTTGAATATGTAGTTATGTCCCACTTCTTAAATGTAACATAAATGAGAAGCATTTTTGTAAAAGAAAAAAAGGGGGGTATGCCCCCCCCAATTAAATGCACAGGCCAAACCCCTACCCCAAGAAACCCAAAATAAGGGGAGTACATTCCTACCATGACATCAACCCCCCCCGAAAAGATTTCTGAGAAACATGACCCCTAAGGGGGTAAAAAAAGGGGCAAAATGTGTTCCCCCAATTATTTCCCATGTTTCTGGCAGGCTGCTGCCTCCTTGCCCGCCCCCACCCCCAATTAGTCAACTGTGTAGTTCAGAGTTCTGAGGTAAAACCTGCCTGCTTGCACCCACCTCCCTCTGATTGCTCAGCTGTGGATCTCAGTGTTCTGAGGTTAAAACACAGTTAGAAGAGACTGCAGACAGTCGAGGACAGTTACAGAAATCAGCGATTCAAGTCTCCTGAATAGACATGTTTCAAAAATTCTAGCATAGCAATTGAGTTAATGAATGTTTATATAGGGAGATAGTAAAGGACATTTCTAGGAGCCATTTCGATGTGTGCCTCCCTCATGAACCTGAAGAAAGTCCACCACATCATCACCCCCTCACACCAACTCCCCCCCACACCTCTCACCTCTTACTGCCCCCAAGAAAGCTCCTAGCAAAAGTCGAGCCAGATACGCCAACGATACAAGGAGGAGGCAACTTAGGAATGCAGCAAAGATATTTGTACATAGTACTCCTGTGGGGCACTGAGCTGTGCAGGCCAAATATCAGCGAAATCACCCTGAGGTACTCAGAACAACACAGTCTCCATGTGAGCAAAACAATCCAGGAACACAAGTAGAGAGGCCATCACTTTCGTTAAAGGTGGCAGTTGACTTAACAGATGACTGCTTCTTAAATGGACAGTTCTATGTTGCCTGCTCCAGAGTGAGCTCACCAAGCAGCCTGGTGATCCTAGCACCTGAGGGCAGAACCACCAATGTAGTATACAAAGGTCCTTCAGTAGAGAAAAAAAAAAGTACGTATGTCTCACTTAATTTCTTACACTACAATCTTCTCCATTAGAATTCCTACAACAAATGTTACATTTCAGACTTCACGTCATCGGTATTTTAACTGGATTTAGAGAACTTAAATACCATAGTGAAGCATGGGTATCAGGCTAGTTGAAACATAAAAAGACTGACTGAACTGATAGAATACACTCATCTCCCTGAAAATAAAAATTCTAGTCAGGGGAGGGATTTAAATTAATGCCATAGCATCATAAAAATAAATGACTTCAGTTACTATTGGCTATTTTGTACAGCTACTTCTGTGCACTGTAATTTTTGTTCTCAAATTTCTCATGCTGGACTGTAGGGATGAAACCAACACACAAACTAAAGTTTGTCATAAATTTTGGCCGGTTTGTGGTTCACAAAGCGATGTTTGTGAACTAAAGAGCCACCATGAACTTCCATGAATTTTAAGGCAATTTGTGGCTGTTTGTGAAGAGCAGAAAGCAGGGGTATAAATGGCTTGGAGCTTCACAAAAAAACAGCTGAGCGGCAGGGAGCAGAAAGCAGGGTTATGAACCAATACAAACCAGCTTGGTTCACAAACCGATGTACTGGTTCATGATTCAGCCACAAACAAAACTGCAAAAATGCAGTTCAAGCCCATCCCTACTGGCCCGTGCATGCTGTTTTCTGTGTTTGCACTTGCACTGACATTTTGATTTCAATATTATATTATGTACAGACTAGCAGTTCTGTTTTCAGCTTTTGTAGTTAGATTTCAAAAGAATGAAAAAGCATGTGATTGGAAGTCCCTGCATCCCAGAAGCAAAATCCTAATGAAATCATCATCCCATCCTGAAACGGTTCTCGTTCCATGGGAAGCTTCAGAGTAACAGACAGAATTACACTGCCACCTAGTGAAAACATTCAAAATGTTGGACTCTATGGAATGAAAGGCAAGCCTTGCCTCCTCACTTTGCTTCCTCAGCATTCCTTAACTAGATGTTGAACAGCACTACATGTTGAGTAAGCCTTCTCCAGCATTTGTATGACTTTACGGGCAAGTTTCAGGGTAACACGTTTGTTTCCAGTGCACCTACCTTAAATGTCTTTTGGTGCATGGCTTATGGGCTGCTAAACCTGAATAAAGTAAAATGTACCTACCACCTGCTCTGTCAGTTTTCCTGAAGCCAACTCCTCTTGCAGTTTCTGTGCTTTCAGTGTGCGCTTAGCCTACATGTCAGAGGAAAAGCAGGATTACTACTTACAATATACTAAACACTTCCACAATAACAACTTTTTAGTCGTTTTTACCCTTAGTACCAATAACCAACTGTTAGGAAACACATCATCTCAGTGATGTGGCAAGTGCTTCTCTCCTCTGATTTCAAGAGCCCAGAGGCCATCCTTTACTAGAAAATTACTCTTCTCTTGTGGACTTTTGCCAAGTCTGGATAACCCTCACAAGACAGGAATAAATGTGTCACATGAGACATGGGTGAGCTTCCTCCCTTACTTTTCAGATTTCCAAATGCTCAAAAATACATACACAATTTAACTGTTAAAAATCCTAGTTATCATTTGAATGCAATTAGGTACAAAGGTAAAGTGCATATGTACTGCACTTTTTAAATTTACAGCAGACATTTAAAAGCATAAAGCATACAGAATAAAGCTTCCACAAAGTTTAAAACACTTACAAATATGTAGGGCACATTAAAAAATAAACCTTGCTACCACAAGAAGAAGATACAGTGATTACAGTATTACTTAGAACATTTAATTACAACATGCCACAATATAAAGCTCACTGTCAAACTGGAGTCCGCATGGATTCCTGCACCCTCTTCCAGCAGTTCGTCCCAACTCCTTGCTCATTGTCAACCATGGTCTAAATCAAAGTGTGCTTTAAGGATACCAATAACCAGGTTTTATTGAAAACCAAGAAATCAACCCTAACTGTTCCCTGGAAGGCCAGATATTGAAACTGAAGCTCAAATACTTTGGCCACCAAATGAGAAGGGAGCACTCACTGGAGAGGACCCTGATGCTGGGAAAGACTGAAGGTCAAAGAAGAAGGGGACGGCAAAGGATGAGATGGTTAGAGAGTGTCATCGATGCAACGAACATGAAATTAAACAAACTCTGGAGCACGATGGAAGACGGGAGGGCCTGGCATGATGTGGATCCAACACCGTGTTTATGCAGGTACACAGATTTTTGCCTGCGGAGTATGACTTTTTCAGCTCCCCACTCTTGCTGTAACCTAAACTGTCCTTCGAAATCCTGCTTTTGTGGATGGAAATTCTTGTGCCTGTCAAAGCCTGGCCCTGGATCCACCCCACCCATGGCCCCATTGGGCAGATTTTTTGATTCACTCTGTCAGGCAATTGTTCAGAATTTAATAAAGAAAAACAAACTATGTATTTTTTTTGTACCAAAGTTTGTTGCAGCTCCCCTAAGTGACTGTTAGTTTCTCTGGAGGGAAAAAACAAACTGTACTTACTAAATCAACTTTGGCATATTCCTCTACAATCTTCATGTGCTCTTCTGGGTTGTAGCCATTCCAGCGGTCTCTTTTTCCATCATAGTCAAACTTCAGCTGAGGCTGCATGTGCTCATCAGGTGCAATGTTTGTTCCTGTGAATTTTGCTCCAACTTTTCTAGGTCTCTGATGGGAAGAAAGCACAACACTTCTGCTTTTTTCCTATCTTCTGGGAAGTCAAATAGCCACAGTATTTATTCATGCTTCCTTAAGTTCTCTGCTATAAATCAATACACATCTCAACCAAATTAGCACACAGGACAGAAAGTGCTCTTGTCCACTTTTCCTTGCCTGTAAGAGAGCTGACTGAAAACATGAAGCTGCCTTATACCGAATCAGACCATTGATCTATCGAGGTCAGTACTGTCTACTCAGATTGGAAGCAGCTCTCCAGGGTCTTAGGTAGAGGTCCTTCACATCACTTGGTCCTTTCAACTGGACATGCCAGGGACTGAACCTGGGACCTTGCACGTGCCAAATAGATGCTCTGCCACTGAGCCATGGCCCCTCACTAGTGATGACTCTTACATTAGCTGTGCACCTGCTACTCTGTAGGCCTCATGGTACACTGCTAAAATGCGTTGGCTGACAGATGTCTCCCATGCTCCCCCTCAGCAGCCTGTTTTTGACCATAGAGAAGCTGATGCTGGAGAATGGAGAGGGCCTATGTGTATGGGAAAGGAGGGAGGGGGCAATTTTGCCCTATTCCTCTGCCTCACTGCAATCCTCCTGACCTGTGTGGCTTTCTGTTCATGCACGTCCCATGATTCGTAGTGGAAGCTTCTGAGGAGGTCAAGAAGGGCTGTTTGGCATCTGCCAGCCTGTAGCACTGGAGCAATCTTATGTTTGACAAATGAAACCAGGCCATTTCTCTAAAGACTTAATTTTAGTTGCATTACCCACCATGATGTTTTTGAGATTGGCTATTAATTCAGCCAAACCCCAATCTGGACAACAACAATAATGGTAATGATTACCTCCAGGCAATCTTTCTTCTTATGTGTTAGTGCACCACAGTTTTCACAGGCTCCTTTGCGGTATTTTGTTGCAACAGAATTCTAAACAGAAAAAAAGAAAATAAGTTAACTTATACCAAATCAAGCCATTGGTCCACCTAGCCTATAACTCTGTATTCTGACTGGCAGTGGCTCTTCAGGATTTCAGGCAATCTTCTGAGCATGCACTACCAAAAATTCTAATAACTGGAAAGGAATAAGTTAACTTATACCAAATCAAGCCATTGGTCCACCTAGCCTATAACTCTGTATTCTGACTGGCAGTGGCTCTTCAGGATTTCAGGCAATCTTCTGAGCATGCACTACCAAAAATTCTAATAACTGGAAAGGCCAGGAATGGAACTGTCTACAAGGAAAACACTGCTCTAGTACAGAGACATGGCTCTTCCCCTGAACTGAAAATGTAAACAGAATTGTCACTTTCCCCATGGTAAGGAGAGAAACTGCAGCATTTGAACCAGCATTAGAAAGCATGAAGGAACTTTTCAAATACAACCACACATACTGCAATATTTGTTATTAAGAGTATGTGTACTTTCTCCCTTCCACTAACCAGATTACGACAAAGTCAGTTTGAATTCATTAGAAATATTTCTGCCAAACCAACCAGCCTATTAACATTTGGTACTGAGAAAGCAAGCTAAACTGTCATGGAATTTTGGCTTGTGAGTTCCTGTAATAAGAAAACAGTAAAACAAAGCAAATTTATTACTTGCTCCATCACACCCAATTGAATCATCTGAGGCAGTTAAATAATCTGTAAGGTATTTTAATTATGTCACCTACCTCCTTGACCCCTCGCTTATACCATTCTCCTTGTGGAGTAAATTCTTCCTGCTTCTCTGGCTGGGGTCTCTGATGCTTCAGTGTAGGTCTTTTTGAAGGGTCTATATACCATGGCACAGAGGAAATGTACTGAGGAATATGAGGATTGATGTCTCTGTAATAAATAACAAAAACTGTTTAAACACAGAGATACTGCAGAGATGATTAGTGAAGTATATATGGGAGGGTGCTTTAACAACATGCTCTTTTACAATTTTTTTTCAATGAGCCAAACAACTTCAGAAAGGAGAGTCAAACCATAGCTGCCAAAAAAACCCAACCATATTGGGTTTGTACATGTGACAAGGAGATGCACAGAAAAACAGCTTTAGAAAGGAACATACCAGTCAAGCTGCTTTTAAACAGAAAGTTCAAGAGAACAGGATGACCGAGACATTAGAAATGGTCTCTTTGGAAAAAACCATGAATAAAGGATCAGTAAGTTACAGTGCAGGGTCTCCAGTCTAACCTCATTGATTAAAACTGATTTAAATGGGCTCATACTGGTATAATTGGGCATAGAATTGCAGTTTTAATACAGGAAAACAACATTCTCTTTTAAGGCTGCAATCACACACATTAAATAATCCATTTTCAATCCCCTTTCAGTGCACTTTCGAATTGGATTGTGCCAGTTCACACAGTAAAATCCAGTTTGAAAGTGCACTGAAAGTGGATTGAAAATGGATTATTTAGTGTGTGTGATCACAGCCTAAAGGTACCAACAGACAACATCTGAAAGCTGCAATCCTATGGTTATTAATTAGGGAGTATATCCTGTAAATGTGCATTGGATTAGACTGCAAGTAATCATACATAAAAACACAATTGACACACTGAAACCCCCAACCCAAGTTATTTTATTACCACTTTATTATCACTGCTTTTTAAAAAACAAACCCCACATTTCAACATTTCCATTTCTCTTGTTTGAATTGTAGAGATTGAAGAGGATAGCATGTAAACATTCAATTCATCAGCAAGTGATTGATTTAGTAGTATCAATACCAAACATTCAAGAGATACAACAAGTTCTTTCTAAGTATACCAACTATTAAAAATTAAATAGCATCCAGTCAAAAAAGGTAGCTCCAAGTGGTTTGAAAGAAACACAGTGGGAGCAGCTAGGGCTTTGACAGCACACATGAAAAAAATATTATGCATACAAGACTTACTTTCCCTCTTCATCCACTTCAGCTGGTGCATTGCCCAGTTTTCTCTGTTCTTCCAATTCTTTCTTTTTTCTCCAGTCCTCCCTTGTCATTTTTTTAGGCTCTTCTAAGCCATTTGACCCTCCAGCAGGGTTAGATGCTATTGTTTCCATGTTCCCAGATGCCATAGTCTTTTTGATGACGAAAAAAAAAAAGAGATATAGGTTGAGGTGTAAACCCCTTCAGTCATTAGAAACAATAATATCTAAAATCAGGTTATTTAACTATCTTATATTCTAATAGTAAATTTGGCCAAATCGTTGGACACTTAAATCTGGTGACTGGAGCTGTGAATGGGCAAGACAGTTGTTGCAGAAAAACGTGAAGCCAAAAAAACAAACTCAACCAAAAATGCTGGGCAGTTTAAAAACTCAAAATAATAAAAGGAGTGCCTGTAGCTTTAAGCAACAGATTTCCTCAGTGGCTGTTGCTAGGAAACCACAGTATTCCAAGCTTGGTTCTGTCAGTAAAAGGCAGGGAGAGGGGGCAGGGCCTATTTTGGCCTTTGAGGGGGGACTCCTTAGGACCAGGCCTGCCTAGGGTTGCCAGCTCCAGGTTGGGAAATTTCTGGAGATTTTGTAGTGGTGTCTGAGGAGGGAGGATTTGGGGTTGGGGGAGTCCTCAGCCACATATAATGCCATAGAGTCCACCCTCCAAAGGTGGTGTTTTCTCCAGGGGGGCAGATCTCTGTTGTCTGAAGATCAGCTTTAATTCTGTGATATCTCCAGGTCCTGCCTGTATCTATATTTTCAATGTACTGCCTTACTTCAAGGCTGAATAACATCCCACAGCTAGCTAAAGACTCTAAACAACAGTCTGTGAAGGCTTGGCAAGTTCTGAGTATTCAGAGAAAGAAGAAACCAAAAATTGTGGCTCAAATTACTCCATTGCCTTCTTGACTGGTCTATGGCATTACACCCTTCTGAGGTCCCTCCCCTCCTTAAACCCCACTCTCCCAAGGCCCCACCCCCAAATCTCTAGGAATTTTCTAACCTGGAGATCGTAACTATCTCCTTCTCCAACAGCCAACGTACCTTTATCTGCCCCTCTTTCTTAAGCTGTCTCTCTCCCCTTATCCCCCCCCCACCGGAAGCCTCTACCTAGGAAAACTTTGGCCCAGTTGTGTGGTACTAGCCACTGGGCCAGACCCACTTGCATGATAGGGAACCCTCACGCCTTTAAAAGGTTCCCCCTCCCCACACTATTTCCTCTTTTCTTCCCCCTGGCAACTCCTATATCCTCTCCCCTTTCCATGCCTCATTTTTTCTTCTTCTTCTTCATTCACCAGCCTTCCTTTTATTTGCCTCCCATCTTCAGCTATAGTTATTATTCATTTACTTAGTTTATACCCCACCTTTATTCACAGTAAGGACCAAATCAGCTTACATTATTCTCCTCCACAATCCTGTGAGGTAGATCAGGCTGAAAGTATTTGATTGGTTCAAAATCACCCATTGAGCTTCCTCAGCGAGATTTGAACCTGGGTCTCCCAGACTCTACTCGAACCGCTATACCACATTGACTTTTATAGAGCAGCTGCTGTTGAACAGTAGCAAACAGCCAGGCCTAGTTCAGTCATGCAAGTTAGCTGGCATCAAGTCTGCTGGTATCAATAATGGACACTGGAGAAAGCAGAAGAACTACTCCCCAGTGCTGTTATCCTGCTAGTGGTATGCCAGAGTGGGCCAGGATATCAACGGCTTTATCAGAAAGGTACAAATCAACCCGGAGAACTTTTGGTATCTTTTGTGGTCTTCCTTGGATAGGGTTTTGAACAAGAGTGGTGTTTACCTTCTGAACCTGGCTTTTAGATTTGGTTTGTATAGCCTTCATGACACTGAATATGATAATTCTAACAGGTTTTATACCTTTTTAAGCTCTAACAGTGCTAGTGCCATTGATTATACCTTGGTTTCTTTGTCTCTTTTACCTAGGATTCAGCATTTTGACATTCACAATGGACCAGAGAATGATCATTTGCCCTAGTTTATACTTTTTTCTACACTTATTAAATTTTCATCCACGCTATGATATAATAACATAGGATCTAATTTAGACAAACAACATCTTAAATGGAGTGTTATTCTAGAGCCAATAAAATTAAAGCTCTTCTCAACTCTCAGCAATTAATGGAATTGAGAAACCACATGAACTCACCTAACTCAGATATGTATGATATTTAAATTGTTATTTGACTGTATGATACTTGAATTGTACCTGTACTGTTCCCTCCATCTGGAAACAAAGTATTATAATTCTTATTTATTAAAAAAGGCAATAAGCAAAACCCTGCCAATTATCACCCTGTCAGTCTTTTTGATATTTCTTCTAAATTATATACATGCCACCTTTTATTCAAGTTGGAAGACTAGGCAGAATCATCAAAGCTTTTCAATCCTGAACAAGCAGGTTTCCGTAATGGTCACAGTACAGCTGATCACTGTTTGACACTGAAGGCCCTGATTCAGAAATACACCAAAATTACAGAAGATGCCCCTACGGTGCTTTTGCTGACCCCCCTTCAGCCTTTGTTTCCATTGAACAATCAAGACTATGGGGCAAACTTAATAAAACAAACTTTGATAAAAAGCTCTTTAGGATACTGTAGGAACTACATTCCAATCTCACAGCCAGGGTAAGAGTGGGTTCACATGGCTTTCTTACGGACCCTACCCCATTAAGGAAGGGTGTAAAGTAAGGTTATTTGTTGGCCCCCTTTCTGTTTAATTTTTATATCAATGATTTTGTCCAGGCCATGGAATCCCAGAACTCCCCCCCCTTTTCATTGACTGCGCAGAAAATTTCTGTCCTGCTGTAGGCAGATGATATGGCAATCATGTCTTTTACCAAAACTGGGCTCAGAAGGATGCTAGTTAGGTTGGCAAACTACTGTGATAGAGAGGAATTAACAATTACAATAAAACAAAAATTGTCATCTTTGGTAATAACAGATTTAAGCACAGATGGACCATTAATTCTCATGAAATAGAACAATGCCCCTTCTTTAAATACCTAGGCATAGTATTTCATGGGTCTCTGTCTTGGCAGGCACATCTTAAGGCCATTTTATCAACTATCTGCCATATGCTGAGAGCTTTTTAAAAATTCTTCTTTTCAAAGGCAATAGCAATAAACTGAAACACCATCCTCCAGGGGAACTAGGATTGCCAACCTCCAGGTAGGGCCTGGAGATCACTCAGCATTAACACTGCTTTTCAGATGACAGAGATTAGCTCCTGTGGAGAAAATGGTTGCTTTGGATGGTGGACTCTATGGCATTATACCTTGCTGCAGGGCTTTTTTTGGGGGGAAAAGAGGTGCTGGAACTCTCAAGCGGAAAATAAAGTTTTCAATCTGTACACTGAAAACATGAACTTTTTAACATTTTTAAAAGAATTTTGTCAAAGAGGTTCCAGAACTCCATTTGAGCACATTCCCCCAGAAAAAACCCCCTGCCCTGCTGAGGTTGCTTCCCTGCTACCCTTGCCCTCCCAAGGCTCCACCCCCAATCTCCAGGAATTTTTCAGCTTAAAGGAAGAGGAACTGATCTCTGTAGTCGGGAGAACCACTGTTTTCCCAAGATATCTCCATGTTGTCAACACTAGAAGTAGAGAAGGAAAGAGGAAAAGGGTAGAGGTCCTGGGGGGTTTCAGGATAAGGAAAGAGGAAATAGTGGGGGCAGGGGAAGTGAGATGCCTCCTGCAAGTCCTTGTGGGTTTCTGCTTGTACATTTTCAACATGGTCCCATTTCTGGGTGTATAAACCAGAGACTGGACCCATAAACAGACAAAACACATCTTTCTACAAACCCAAGAAAAGCCCCAGGTCTGCAGAATTGTCTGAAAACTAAAAAATATACAGGTTTTAAAAATTCCTCAAAGAGAATGAGCACCCACAGCTTTAAGAAATGCTCTCAGCCTTGATTTCTGTTAGTGAAAAGGAGGAGGAGGGAGCACGGCTCTTTTAGCCTCTGAGGAAAAACCCCTTGTAGCCAAGCCTAGCAAAAACCAACAGCCAACTTATTATTCATATAACTTCCACGAGTCACTCAGGCCCAGCTGTTTGCTGTTGTTCAACAGCAGCCACCAAAGAACAGCCAGGTGGTGTGCAGTGGTTAAGCGCTTCAGACTAGGATTTGAGAGACCCAGCTCCAAATCCCAGCTCTGCCATAAAACCTCAGTAGGGGACCTTGGGCCAGCCTGAACTATCTCGCGGGTCTCCTGTTTGTTTATCCGAATTTACAACTCCCTCATATGAAAACCCCGGACAAAGGCAACTACACTGAAAGCAATTCGATAACGAAGTCACCAGGAACACATACATGGTACTAATCTAATACATATTAGCAAGTCTTTATAAAAAAAACACAATATTAGCAAGGCCTCCAGATATTACGCGAGCCTTCCACCCCAACTCACCTAAATATTAGGCATTAATTGTACGCCACCAATTCCGCTTCCCACAATGCACGTTGAAGCCCTATTTCCTAATATGGGAAGATATACTGACGTCACTAATGATAAACTTCCGGTGAGACATCGAAAGCGGCCATTGTCTATGATTGTAGCGTGGAATCGCTCTAGGCCACTAGTGTCTATGATGAAAGGTGGGGATAGCGTGCATTGAAAACGGAAGTAGGAAATTCGTCCCATTTTAAACCGGAAGTGTTGCTAACCTGGACGACAATTTATGAGTCTCGTCTTTATGTCATCGATCTCTTCTTAAAGGACCACCTTTCTCAGTTCAGCGCTGTTCTGTAATCTGACTAGTACTCGAGTATCTCAGTACTAAATAAAAAAGCAGCCCCATAGTATATGCTTAGTACCATTGATTTCGATGAAAACATTCTGGGGTATCTTACACCCCTGAAGAATGTACTGCATCACAAAGCTTTCAACAGTTCTCTTCATCAGATGCGTGACGTTTTGAATTCAGTTGACAGAGATTTATACAAACCCAAAGTTACAAAGAGTAGAAGGGAGGGACAGGAAAGTATGTATCAACCGAAAGTACACTTTCTGCATCTGAGGAAGTGGACTTATATAACAATACATTTGTCAGTGCCACACTTTTTAAATAAAAAGTTGTTTCTGCAGTACGAGGCGAACACGGCTACCTCTATGTACTTAACCTCCAACATTGCCGTCGCTACTCTAATGTAGGCGGCTTGGAGAGTTACATGGGCTTCACAGCCCGCCCCGTGCAAGAAACTCATCACCGCGTTTGACAGTTTAACGCACCTAACTGATCTTTTGGAACGGGGTTTCTTTTCTCCGAGAAGCCAGTCCCTCCTTTTTCGTCCGCCCGTCCCCCCATTGGTCTGGAAGCGTCCAACCGGCGTCTTAGGAGTCCACGCAGACAACCCCCGCAAATGAGAAGCGAGGTGGAGAGTTTAAAATGGTCTTGCGGAGACGGTTGGCTTTCTAATGTGGGGCTTTCGACTTTTTGTGCTCAGGTGCATGTGATTAAAAGGACCATATTGGGTTGTTTGTAGCTGTTACTGTTGTTGCTGCGGCGGTGAAGTGTTTAGCGGTTTCGTTGAGCTGGTTTTTAGAAGTTTTTGGGACAAGAGGAGGAGGGGAGTGTTGTTAATAACTATTTTAGTGTCAGCGCTTATAGCAGTGTGGACGGAGAAGGGGTTGGGTAGGTTGGCGTTGCTTTCTTAAAGGTGTTTTTCCTCTGTCCACAGACTGGAATAGTTTCTTTTCGCTATCATATTTCTATGTTATTGCTACAGTTGGTGTCCTTCTAAAGATCTCCATCTGGGTAAGTACGGGGTGGGGTGGGGTAGGCAAAGTACGTTTTGTAGTTCCTGCAAACTCTCCCGTAGTTATAGCAACTTTCTTTGCATATTGACCTGGGAATAAACTGCACCGAACCAGAATTTCTTTCGAAGTATAAACATGTAAGATTAGGCTGTATACCTGGGAGGGTGTAAACGGGAATGTAGACTCTTCCGTTCCCCGTAGGCAGCTGGGAAAAGTTCTTCTAGCCTTGTAGTCTGAATCCACGAAAGGCCAAGAGCTATTAAAAGTTTAATTACTTTGCTTTGAGGGAGAAGCATGGTATCTGTGTCTTTCAGTACGGTTTCAGGTTTTGAAAGGCATCTCCTACAATAATTTTCTCAACAGTGCAATTTTAGTAGTAATGCTATTGATGTAAAAGTGGATTTGGTGGTGGTGGGGGCGGCTCCAGACCAGTTGGATTTATGGTGTGAAATCCACAAAGTAAATTGTTTACACTGAGTGGGTTTACATGTTAGCATCTTTTGGTCAGTAAAATCAAGGACAAATGCTTGGATTCTGAGAATCCACACAAATTAACCTGATTAAAAGAAGTTAATTACACACTGCCCACCTTTGGCTTCAGACACAGATGAAGATGATCAAAAGTTTATTTAAAGTGAGAGCAATCCAGTATGCTGTTAAAGAAATGCTGGGCTTTTAATTCTTATGTTCAAATCAAGTTATTATGAACACTGCTTCTGAAGTATTCTGATGTCTTTAAGTAAGTGTAGATTCAGGTACTGGAAACAGTTCCTTAAAAGATGCAAATCTAATCTACCATTAGGCCAAAAGATTTAGGGAGTTAGGGCTCTAGGTCCATATGCTTCTATCCAGGTAGTAACCCTTATAAGGGACACTGAAATATTAATTAAAACTGGAATATTTTTCTGAGATATTCCCTGTATCTTTGGAAAGGGGGAGGGGATTGTGATACTGCCTGTACTCTGCTGCAGATGCTTGTGATTGCAGGATGCCTGTCCTTAATGAAGGTGCTTCCTTGATAGAAGTGTCCTAAGTGAGTCTAATAATCAAAGTGCCAAGAGGGAATCTGAGATTCTTGGAAGATTCTTGGAATCTGAGATTCTTGGTAGGGGAGGGAGTCCGCTTCCATATTCCATGGACCCTCTGTGCCCTTAGTATAGCTAAAAGGCTCCTATTACAAGGTTGGAGAGATAAATGCCCACCTCCATTGAATCAATGGATTGAGGACCTTAGAACTTTATTAGTATTTGAAAGCATGGCACATGGATAACAATTGTGTATAGGCTCATTTTTAGATATTTGGAAATCTTTAATAGAAACTTATGTGTATTTTCATCTCTACTTTATGTAACCCTTTTCCTTAAAAGAATGTTTAGTTGCTGGATTTTGAATTTTTATCCCCCCTTTTGTGTGAAATAAACAAATACATTAAAATGTTCACTGATCTTTAAGGATGCTTATGTACTGTTTGCTCATATCTTGGAAGCTAACCAGTGGTCAACAAAAATAGACTCTCTGTGACCTTACTACAGGCAAAAGACTAGTATTATAACATTGGAGAGGAATGCTCGCCTTCTATAAAGCAATGGATTCGAGGACCTTACAAATGTGTAAATATTTGAATGTGTGGCATATAGATTACAATTGTGTATGGATGTATTTTTAGTTATCTTGAAACCTTTTATAGGAGTATATGTGTATAACATATATATAACATATGTATAACATATATATAACAGTTCAATGAAGCTGTGGGCTATGCCGCTCTTTTTTCCCCCCCCCCCCTTTAATTAGTTACTGGGTTTTGACATTTTTTTCTTTTTCGACTTCCCTCTCTCTCTCTCTTTTTTAAGAAATGAAAAAGTCACAGGCGCCTATTGTTGTGAGAGGCAAAAGTGCTCAGATTTATGGTTAGAAAGGTAACCTAGATGCTCTACGAGTGATCTCTAGTTCTGTGGTATGTTCTATATAGAAATGAAATTGCTACAAGGGGAAGAAATCCAAGCTGTAATTTAGCCTTAGGCTGAACTGAAGGAAGAAGTTAAAACTTGGGAGGCAAAAGGGTGCATAGTACTAGATGTATGCAAGAGAAGTTCTGATAATGTATGCTAGATAGCTAAACAAGGACATTAGAAAAAATTCCCAGGTGTATTGATAAGGAAATAGTTCCATCTCTTAGTATAGGTTGGCTGAGAAAAAGTTATGTGCTTGAGTGATGGCAAACGTTTCCCTGGAGAAAATGACTGCTTTGGAGGCTGGGCTCCATGGCATTGTACCCCGCTGAGGTCACTTCCCTCCCCAAATCTCATCCTCTCCAGGTAGTTCCTAACCCAGAGCTGGCAACCCTACCTCCATTGCACACACCACTAAGAGGCCTTGTTTATACTGTGCATGGGTGACATAAGGCAGTAGCAATCAGAGGCAGACTAAGATGCTGGTTCCATCCCACTGTGAGCCTGCGGATAGTGTCTGGCAACCAAAGGTTGTACGTAGCATTCTCTATGGGAAATCTTGTTGGGGATGTAAGACACCCCCCCCCCACGGGTCATTTCGTAGAAAAAGAGGTGCAGGAGCTCATTAGCATAACACATTAGCATAACTTATTTGCATATGCCACACCCTTGACATCACCGGAAGTGTGTCAGAAGGCAACACCCACCACTCAGGCTTCACTGGACTGTTTTGGATTGCTAGCTGTTGGGGGGGGGGACTTGCAGATCTGTCCTTGCAGAGGAGGGAGAGCTTGTACCTGAATAAAACTTGATCTTAAAGGTGGCACTGGACTGTTTTGGACCGGGGGGCCAGGGAGGCCTCTGCAACTTACCTGGCTGCTTCTTGCTCTGACTAAGGGCTGCTGGGAGCAGGGGGTGGGGCTTGTTGCATGTGCCCACCCCCTGGGCTCTTTACTGCCGGAACTCCGCTCCTGTGCGCTCCTGCAGCAAATTACCCCTGCCCCCGCTATTTATGCTTATGACTACAAGACAGTGATTGAGGACTAGATACAAACCCCAGTTTGTAGAAGTCCAGTTTTGTCTTGTTGTTTTGGCATGTCATCTCACTGGAGAGTTCTTAACTAGTGAAAGACATTAACTAGCCGGTATGTATCTCGCTGAACTGCAGGCTGTGGAAGGTCAGTAGTTCAACAGTTCGAGACCCGGATGCCGCATGATGGAGTGAGCTCCCATCTAGTTCCAGCTCCTGCCAACTTAGCAGTTCGAAAGCAAGAAATTGCAAGTAGATAAATAGGTACCACTTCGGTGGGAAGGTAACAGCGTTCTGTGCGCCTTGGTGTTTAGTCATGCCGGCCACATGACCACGGAAACATCTTCAGATAGCGCTGGCTCTTCGGCTTTGAAACGGAGATGAGCACCGCAACCCTACAGTCGAATTTGACTGGCTTTCGAGCAAGGGAACCTTTACCTTTTTATGTATCTCTAGTCACCTTTCTTCTGAGAGTATTTGGCAGTGTGGAAGCAATAACTTTTAAAACCCTCCAGTACAACTATAATCGAGTAACTCTAAAACTGGTAGAATTTTGGATGTAGTGTCTCAGTTCTTATGCTAGTACTGTTTGACAGAAGCAGTTGGTGAATTTAGCCAGGAGTTTACAGTCCTGCATGTCTACCAATATACTGAATGTTCCAGATAGTCAAGGAAAGTTGCATATATCCTCTGTGTGAATTGTGTAAAAACAGTGGTATTTTGTCCGGGTGTTTTTAGTTTTTAAAAATAGCTGTTCAGCTTGCCACAAACATGTCACTTGCTTCTTTATAGATGAATAAAAGAACACACTAGAAACTTGGAAATAATAATCTATTTTGGTAGGCCTTTGATACCAAGGATGGCTACTCCTGTCTTCATAGACAAAGAAAATGGTAACATTGGCACTGCTGCTGCTTCAAAGAATCGACTGAGACTGCTGTCAGCACCTTGTGAGTCTGTGCTAATATGACCTTTAATTGGTACCAGTGAACTAAAAGGCCTCTTGAGCATAAAGTTCACTAGGAATATTGATGAATTTTAAGTACTGATCATTCTAGATGGTTACTAAACAACTCTGGGATGTGTATATGTTTATAGTTTTGCCCCATTTTGGAAGCTCCCTATTGATAGCATTGCACAAAACAAGGATTTGTGAAAAGTGTGGAGAATTCTAAAGAAAGGCAAAGAAAGGTAAATAAAGTACTAATGAGGCTACTGTACAGAATATTGCAGTGAGCCGAGATCACAGTTGAGTGGTATTAGATGAAGCCATTGTGATCACAGAGGTTACCTGGTAGAAAAGCTGCAGATATGAGGGATTGATGAATTCTGTTGTAGACAACAGGTCTTTGTCTGCCACAACTTCACCTTTCCCCCCCCTCTCCTTGTAAACTGTATCATCAAGGTGTCTGTATAATGGTTATGAACATCTGAAGAAAGGAAGTCTGACTTTATACTGTAATCTTTAGTTTTTAAGATGCCACTAACCTCCTGTTTCATTCCACTGCAGCAGACTTCCACTGCTGTTCAAACAAAATTAGAAACATCCTCAGTATGAGAGAGATGCACTGTATGCTACTAAGGAAACATCTTGGCTTCTTCCTTCTCACAAGAAGAGAAAAATAATTTTGTAGGAACATTGCACTTTAAAGTTGAACTGGAGTAACAATAGTCACTATATTAAGAACCATAATCTGATTTGGGTGTTATCATATACCAAGTACATTGTAAGAAGTTTGGACAAAATTGGTCACATTTAAATAACCTTTGAATTTGAATCTATAAAAAATTATCACTTAATGCTGTAACTTGTATAAAAATACTGCATAGTAGGGATGGGCACGAACCACATTTTTACGGTTCAGTTCGTGGTTGAACCATGAACTGATATGCCAGTTCGTGAACCAACCTGGTTCGTATTGGTTCATGAGCCATTTAAACCCTGCTTTTTGCTCCTCATGAACTGCCATGAACTGCATCAAATTTGTGGACATTTGTGGTGGCTCTTCAGTTTGTGAACATTGCTTTGTGAACCACGAACCAGCCAAAATTTGTGACCAACTTTGGTTCATGAGCCGGTTCATGTCCATCCCTAAAGCACAGTTCTTGGCAAGCATATTAAATCAGTAAAACTTTAAATGACTTCTCATTCCAAAAGAGAATATATAATAGTTTTTAGTGTTCCTCAGTGTCAAATTTCCTGGGCTGTGGATGCTTTTTCCCCAGTGCCATTATATTTCTTGGATAGGAGGGGCTCTAATTTTGTCCTACTTGATACACCATATTTACAGTGCAATCCTATGCATTGTCTCTCCAGGCTAAGCTCATTGATTTCAGTGGGCTTAGGCTGTAGTAACTCTGCATAGGTTTTAACTATAAAATACTTCGAAAGCTTTGGTATGCTGGGTCTCAAGTATGTCTGTTTACTTAATTTTTTCTCACAGCGAAGGCCTTTCTTGAAAAACCCCACCCTAAGACTCCACTTGCTGGAAGGACAGCTAATGTTAATTCAGCAACCATCTGTTCTGTCAAGAAGGCTCTAGGAAATGGGAGCATGACAGTAATATCCACAAAGCACCAAATCCCAAAAGGAAAGAAGTTTGTATCTGCAAAAAAAGTAAGTAGAATTAATGTTTGGGACCACTGAGCATGCTCAGACATAAAGAGTAGTAAATTGGTATTGTGTTAGGAATGCATATCCTTGGTTAGCCTGCAGGCAGTTCTGGAATTTGACAAGACAGTAATAGGTGCCACCACAAAACCCCTGCCTGGGGAGAGAAGGGCTTCAGTAGTTTTGTTCCTCTAGAGGGCGGTGTGTTTGCGGGAGGGTGGACTTCCCCTATTTTTTAAAAGCACCAATTAAATGAGTAAAGAGGAAGGCTGCAGTTCCTCTTCCATGGGGGGGGGGGAGTCACCCCTGCTGAGAAAGCAGCAGTGAGTAAGATTGAGGCAAGCAGGGATGTCATTCATTTGTCCTGTCAATACACTGCTTGCTGCTGGTACTGCTTCTCCCCCCATATGCCATATTACATTGGCACAATAGTGCTGATGCAATGAGAATCTTGTTGCCCCAATCCCTGTGGTTAGCAACCCCAGCTTCCACAACAGCTTAGGGTTTTTTATTTTTAAAAAGCCCTGCTTAAGCACTAAAAAGGCGGGGGAAAGCAAAAGTTGAGTGTTGCCACTTTGAAGGCAGTGCTAAGTTCCCTCCACCCCCGAACTGGCTGTCATGCAGGCTGTGCCTGCTGCTGACTTCTCATTTCCCCATTAAGTCAGAGCAAAGGAGGTTTTTCTTTGCTCTGGCTTAAAAGGGAGGGCCTCAGGAGGCCAACAAGTCATACTCAAAAGAACATGACATTGTGTGGAAGCTCCCCAATAAAGCATCCAACAAAGTTAGGTAAAGGTTTTCCTTGCTCGAAAGCCAGTTGAACCTGACTCTAGGGTTGCGGTCCTCATCTCCGTTTCCAAGCCGAAGAGCCAGCGCTGTCCGAAGACGTTTCTGTGGTCATGTGGCCTGTGTGACTAAACGCCAAGGTGCACGGAACGCTGCTACCTTCCCACCGAAGCGGTACCTATTTATCGACTTGCAATTTCTTGCTTTCGAACTGCTAGGTTGGCAGGAGCTGGAACTAGAGACGGGAGCTCACTCCGTCATGCGGCACTCGGGTCTCGAAGTGCTGAACTACCGACCTTCCAGCCTGCAGTTCAGCATCTTAACCACTTTCTTTTTAATTACTGTTTTCACAACCAGAATCATAAACAGCAAACTCTCATTCCACAAAAGGAGAGCCTAAAAGTTACTACAAAACTTATCATGTAACTTAACAGCTGCCAGAAATTTTGCCACACACAAAGTAGTTTATCTTAATTTCTGAGTAACCAGGATAATTTCACTTCTTTTTTTAAAAATAATTTTTTATTGAATTTTCCATAATTAACAAAAAAGAAAAAGAGAAAAGGAACAAACACACAAACAAACAAAAACAAAAAGCAATTCCTCTTAATACATTTACATATTAGCAGAAGTGTTCCACAATATAACAGAATTAACTACATATTTGGCACCACATAAAGTACGCCTTATTCATTAACTTAAACCGAACTTTGACTCTTTCAACCAATTATAAAACCTTGACCAATACTTTTCATAATTTTCCAGATTTCTTTCTTTGATAATACAGGTTAATTTTTCCATGTCTGCAATATGAAACAATTTAGTAATAATTTCATCTTTGGAAGGGACAATATTCTCCTTCCATCTTTTAGCAAATACGATTCTTGCTGCCGTTAAGATCTGCATAATTATAATCTTTTTTCTTATACGAATCCGGAATCACATTTAACAAACAACATTCTGGCTTTAAAGGGAAGTCTTTACCTACTATTTTATCTATAATTTCTTTCACCATAGCCCAATATTTTTTTTTTTGTTACATAGCCACCACATGTGGTAAAAAGTGCCGGTACTATGAATACACTTCCAACAACTTTTCCCTATTTCAGGATAATTTCACTTCTGAAGAGATAAAGTCCTGATTAAAAAACCGAGAGATCAATTCAGCTCTTAGATCTGAAAATTTGGGGCAGTCAAAAAAAAAAATACGATCCACAGAATTGAATTCATTGTTGCCATAATTACAGAGTCTATCTGAATATGGAATTCCATTGAATCTTCCTAGCATCCAACAAAGTGCCTTAAAGAAGACTTGCTAGCTAGCAAATCTCTGATCCCAGCTTCACTGGAAATCTAGCATTAACTGTAGTTGGTGCCTAATGGCCATTGTATAGGTTGGTCATGAAGGAAGAATTTACACTGGTAGAGTTGTTTATAGGCTAGGATATGTGGGTGGGAGGCCCGGGAGCCCTCCCTCCTAATGCTCCAGAGATTAGTAACATCAAGTCTGCATTGTCCCTACCTGATGCTGCAATATAAAGGGCCTCGTTGGGTCATTAGATGATGATACACAGCACCTTTTCCCCTTCAAGCAAGAGTAAAAGTCCATGTAGAAATCTTGTACTAGGAAGATGGTATTCCACCAACAAGTGTTTTGGTTATTCTTTAAGGTTGCTGAGAATACAGGTAGAGTTGAAGGCTGCAGCATGGCCACTGAAGACTGTCCAGAAAAGGAGAATTTCTTTCCTTGTAATCCTCTAGGTAACGTTCAATGTTAGTTACTTTGAAGTTCTTCACCAAATGGTGGTGGAGGTATGGGGGCAGTATGGATTTGACACTTCTAGAGAGCATAATCAGTACAGAAATATAAACATTGCTATCCAAACAACTGAATATATCACATTTATGGTTTCTGGAATGTCTCTGAACAGACTTTGAGAGTTTTGAGGTTCCTGAGGAGCACAGACTGAGCCATCTATCACTGACTGGTGTTCCTCTTATGACATTTGGAAATACAGTTGAGAGGTTTCAAAGCATGATCCATATAACTGGAAAACCACTTTCAATTTCTTGGGGCTTTGGTAAGTAACATTGATCTGTATTCAGAGAATGGGCTCAGCTCTCTACTGAAAAGGTCAATGCTTGTTTGTCTGATGTGAGCACTAACTTGTTTGCGGCACTTCAACAGTAGTCTAAAACAGGGTTCCCAACTTTTTGAGGCGGTGTGCATCTTTCAAATTCTGACACAGTGCTGGGTGCAACCACGAAATGGCCACTGTGGGAGGTGGACCCACACACAAACAGCAAGCTGAAGTGCATGGAACAACGAGTAATTTTTAAAAATACACTGGGGGAAGAGTACTGAGAGAGAAAAAACATCAATGGGAATGGCAGCTGCCACCAAAACACTGTTATTTCAGTCTGCACAGCAAATGAGATCTTCAGTGGTTGATCAGAAGCCCTGCTGGGCAGGACCCCCACCTGGTCTCACCCACTTGGGAGGTGCCAGGAAAGGAGTAGATGGGTACCATGGTGCCTGTGGGCATCATGTTGGGGACCCCAGGTCTAAAATCTAGGTGATTAGAAAACAGAGTTTGTCACTTGTTTTTAACAGTTAATACACACTGCAATTACTTGTTTTTAAACTTTTCAGATACTCTTCAGTCAACTACAGACTTCCTAGCTACTTTGGATGAAGTAGTAATTGACTTGCCCCCTCCTCTGTAACCTATCTTTTAAACTGTATTCTGAACACATTTTATCTATTGAAATAAAGAACTTATGCTTTATACAGCATTTGAGACTTTGTACTTTTAGATTAAAATTTACCAGAATCTAACAGTTGGGGAAAGAAGAAGAAGAGATTGGATTTATACCCCACCTTTCACTACCCAAAGGTGTCTCAGAGCGGCTTACAAACTCCTTTCCCTTCCTCTCCCCACAACAGACACCCTGTGAGGTGGGTGGGGCTGAGAGAGCTCTGACAGAAACTGCTCTTTTTCAAGAACAGCTCTTATCAGAACTATGGCTTGCCCAAGGTCATCCAGCCAGGTTCAAGTGGAGGAGTGGGGAATCAAACCCGGTTCTCCCAGATTAGAGTCCGCGCACTTAACCGCGCAACTGAGATGTAGAAACGTCTAATGATGTTCTTATCCACAGAAAAAAAATGTATTTAGCCAACTGATAGCAGAGTAGCTGCTGTCTTTACACAAACCTCAGAATAGGATTCTAGGTAATTTCATGAGAATTCTAAAGCTCCAGGTTAGGAAGCAAGTTAAGAATATGCTTTGCTCCGATGTTTGCCCAATCCAGACTGAAAAGTGACTGGCAGTGAGGCTAGACTTGCACAATTGTTGTACAGATTTGTACAGTCTAATAGTGTTGATTCAATTAGACCATTTGCTGCAAAAATCCTTGCTATCATGGAGCTGCAGCTTCATGACTTTTGACAGATATTCTTAAGGCCACTTAAAGTAGTTTGGCAGGCAGTCTGTGTGATTCTAGGCAGGAGTGTTCTGTTCTGTATGTGGGTTTGGGAGGGGAGTGGATAGAAAGGAACCTTAATATATCAACATCCTTTCTAAAACCAGGCTGCCTCCTTCATGGCAAATGGGTGATATCTCATAATCAGTGTTTCCTCAGAAAGGGTAACTAACTGTGTCTTTATTACAGAAATATCACTTGCTGAAGTGCTAGTCAAATGTAGTCTTTCCTTAATGGCCCATCTGACCTTTAACTCTGTTGGCCTAGATTCACAGTTTTATAAGGCACTGCAACTGAAGAACCTATTTAGCCTATTAAATCAAGGTTGGTTTTAAAAGAGCTTAACTAGAACCCTCTGAACATTGGCTGGGAGTAAAGTTAACATCTTATCCTCTCTAATCTCTTGAAGCAATTTGGCTAACACCATGGCTGTTGTCCTCCCTAGAATTTTGATCCATTTCCATGAGAAGATACAACCCGTTATAGGACCAGCAGAAGTGTAAATAGCATCTCCTAGCTTAGTTACATCCATAAAGAGCTAAAAGTATTATCTCTGCATAGTTTGTTCATGTTGATAATTTTTCTCTGATGCTTACTGTCATGTATTGAACAGTTGTTGACTCACCTGAATTTACAGGTTTTTAAAACTCTTCATGCTTCTAACTTCTCAGAAAAGTTATTAAGCAGAGATGGGTATTTCATAAAGAAAGGCTGAGAAGACTTTTTGTTATCAGAGACAGTGGTGGGTCAGCTGCCTTGCTCTGCAACAAATTCCTCAGCATGCTGCTCCTGCATGAAAATGAGTGGCTAGAGTACAAAGGAGCTGGTGGCGGATGTAGTAAATTTTGAGGGAATGCCCTGGGTAAAAGGGAATTCCATGAAGTGTCTCTCTGAATCTCATGACTCACAGACATGTTGTGATTTGTAACTGTTTGCAATTTTGTTTTGAGTGCAAGGTTTAAGGTTTGGAATGGACTGTAAGCAACAGGTTAAGGCAAGGGATTCCAGTACTGGGGTTCCCTAAGTTAGTGATTTATATCACTTGTCAAGTCACAATTTCCATTTAGCAAGCCTTTTTGGATGGCTGCACAGAGCCATCATGTGGTCAACTTCATGCATTACAACTTTCAGGTGTTTATGAAGGTTGTCTTACATTGGAAGGTTTTCAATTGTGTCAAGAAGGTAGTTCAGTACTGCTTGAACATTTGCAGTAGCTGGTAAATCACAAGAAGCTGCCTTATACTGAACCAGACCATTGGTCCATTAAGGTCAGTATTGTCTACTCAGACTGGCAGCGGCTTTCCAGGCTCTCAGGCAGAGGTCTTCCATGTCACCTGACGGGGATTGAACCTAGGACCTTCTGCATGCCAAGCAGATGCTCTACCAGTGAGCCACAGCCTCTCTTGGGCCCTGGTCACACGGGCCGGATATCGTGGGGGGGAGGCGTGGCTGTTTGCTCCGGCGCGAACTACTGTGCGGCAGCCGGATCAAACGTCCCGCCGACGTCCCGTGGTTGGGGGGAGGTGCCGATCATACCTCACTCCTGCGGCACGGCAAAGAAGTGGCGCCGCGGGGGTTGTGTTGGTTTTTTTAACCCAAGTGTTTGCATGCGCCGTTGGGTGCTTGTGCGCACCCGTGGGGACTTGACAAAAAAAACACTTTTCGCGACGGGACATGGGCGGGACATGGGCGGGCGCCGGATGCCACGAGCTAACACTGGAAACGTGATCTGACACCCGCCCTTGCCCCGCGGTTTCTGGAAACTAGTACCTCGGAGGTACTAGTTTTTTACAGCGCATCTTCAGAGCGAAGCCTCGGGTGAGCCACAGGAGCTCTACGCTTCCCAGATGTGGCGGTGAGATCGGGCCCGGAAAATCCGCCTATCTTCCGTCTCTCTAGCGTGCCTAATGCTCCGTGTGACCGGGGCCTTGATGAATTTTAATTAAATCTGTTGGTCCAAAATGCATATGTTAAAGCAGGCCAAATGGAAAGGGGCTAATGCCTTTAGCTTGCTGTGCCACAAGTAGGCAAGATGCCTGTTCAGTGTAGACTAGTACATTGAATTAAAATTGCTCTTAGTCTTCAGCAGTACAGTTGTAATGACTTATGACAGTCCTGTAGGATTTTCAAGGCAAGAGACATTCAGAGATGGTTTGCCATTGCCTGTCTCTGTGTAGTGACCCTGGACTTCCTTTGTGGTCTCCCATCCAAGTACTAACCGTGGCTGACCCTCCTTAGCTTCTGAAAGCGGACGAGATTGGGCTAGCCTGGGCTAACAGTCTTCCCAAACTGAGACTGCCTTTATAGAATCCTCAAATTTATGCATGTTCTGCATAATTTAAAGCATGTACTCAAGAACCTTTTGTAGAGAGCATTTCTAAGTATATTGAAACAGACTACCAGCTACTAAAAAAAAATCCAAACTTTCTAGCTATTAGTAGCTTTACCTCATGCTTGTAGCTGGCAAATGGGGGCATGAATTTGCCTTAAGTAATAGGTCTGTTTATACAATGTTACACTACTCTGCTAGCAGCTCTGTACAGCCCTGAACAGAAGTCTTTCTAACACCCCCTACCAGAGGTCTTTTAGCTGAACATGGAATTTCTCCATGCAGAACCTGTGTTGTCACGGAGCTATGGGTTTCCAGATGCAGGTATGGAAGGCCTCAGACAAGGCCATGCCACCACTGCTGAGTCGCGGCAGCCAGGAGCCGCTACCAGCCAAGAGGAGGCCCAGGCTGACATGTGCTGGCTCTGCCCAGCCGCCTGGAAAGGCACCGGGGGTGGCCATGTGGGGAGGCGGCAGCAGCCCGTTCCCTCGCATCTCCCCCTTGCGGTCTGCGGATGAGGGGAGATGGTGCCGTGCCACCATGCACATGAATTTGCCTTAAGTAATAGGTCTCTTTATACAATGCTACACTACTCTGCTAGCGGCTCTGTAAAGCCCTGAACAGAAGTCTTTCTAACACTCCCTACCAGAGGTCTTTTAGCTGAACATGGAATTTCTCCATGCAGAACCTGTGTTGTCACGGAGCTATGGGTTTCCAGATGCAGGTATGGAAGGCCTCAGACAAGGCCATGCCACCACTGCTGAGTCGCGGCAGCCAGGAGCCGCTACCAGCCAAGAGGAGGCCCAGGCTGACATGTGCTGGCTCTGCCCAGCCGCCTGGAAAGGCACCGGGGGTGGCCATGTGGGGAGGCGGCAGCAGCCCGTTCCCTCGCATCTCCCCCTTGCGGTCTGCGGATGAGGGGAGATGGTGCCGTGCCACCATGCCTGAGGCCGGCCGGGGAGCCAGGCCCAGCCTGTCCTGTCGCGGGGACGGACGAGGCTAGGCAGTTTGGCCCACCGGGGCCTTGAGTGCGCGGAGGGAGGGCTGAGGAAGGAGACGCGGGCCCGAAGCCACCCGCCTGAGCTGCTGCCCAAGGCAGGGAGAGGGAGGAGCCTTGTCTGCTTGCCCGCATGCCCATTGTGGGGAGAGGGGTGAGCCTGGCCGACTTCCCCCGCCGGCACCTCGATCGGGCGGGGATGCCGGGGGGACAGATGAGGCCAGGCAGCTTGGCCCGCCGGAGCCTCGACTGCACGGCAGGAGAGCAGAGGACAGAGGGCTGTGGAAGGAAATGTGGGCCTGCAGCCGCCCGCCCAAGCTGCCGCCCATTGCAGGGAGACGGATGAGTCTGGTCTGCTTGCCCCGATAGGCCCTTGCTTGGCCGGGGATGGTGGCGGGAGCGGCCCACCTAGGCGCCTTACCTGCCAGGGCCTTGACCCCGCGGGAGGGGAGTGCGGGCTGCTTCCCCGGGTTGGGGAGACTGGGAAGTGGATGGCGCCCTGTGCCCGGCTCGCACCCAATGTGGGGAGAGGGGCAACTCTGGCCAGCTTCCCCCGCCGGCACCTCGATTGGGCAGGGGTGCCGGGGGGACAGACGAGGCCAGGCGGATTTGCCCACTGGAGCCACGACTGCGTGGCAGGAGGGCAGAGGAGAGAGGGCTGGGAAGGAGACGCGGGCCCGCAGCCACCCACTGCAGGGAGACGGATGAGCCGGGTCCCCTTGCCCCACTGGGGCCTCGCTCAACTGGGGGTGGTGGCGGGAGCGGCCACCCCAGGCACCTTACCCGCTGAGGACTCGACCCTGCGAGGGGGAGTGCGGGCTGCTTCCCCGAGTTGGGGTGGGTGGGAAGTGGACAGCGCCTTGCACCCGGCCGGGCTCATGCCCATTGCGGGGAGAGGGGTGAGCCTGGCCGGCTTCCCTCACTGGCGCCTCAAGT